GGCCTGCCAGGGAGCACAGGGCGTGATGGCTCCCTCCCAGCCAAAGCCCTGGCATGCGCTTCCGATGTCATCAGATGCTTTTCACTGTCTAAAACCATTTCTGCACGGTACCAGCGTTGTGCTCGGCAAGCCTGCGAGTGGCGGACGAGAATGGGGGGGGGGCAAGGGGAAAACGGCAGCTCAGCTGTAGTCCGGCAGACTGTGCCAGCTTAATCATACCCGAGTTCACGCTCTCCATAGAAGATACCCCGTAACTGGGTTTTTCAAAGGCATCTGGAGGCCAAAGCAGCTTATTTTAAGAAGCTAATATTAAAAGCGGACACGCGCCCTCCCATCTCCTCTCAAAGGTGTAACATACAGGGCGCTACGTGAAAGGACACCAGCACCATCTAACTAACAAACAGCTGCCCCCTGAAGAGACCCCAAAGATGCTGAACCCAAAGAAGTTTAGATTTTTCATTCACACCCTTTTACGTGTTGAGAACACTGTTCAAAGCCCCTTCCAAACAAGTTAACGCAGAAGCACCACAGCCAAGAGCAGGGCTGCAGCCACAAGCACACTCCCACAGGACTTGCCCGCTTGGAGAGGGCAAGAACTGCAGAAGTTCGTTCCATAAAGATTTCCTTCCCGTGTCCGCCCAGCACGGCAACTACTACAATTCCAGACTGCAGCCCCTCGGCTGTTTAACCAGCCATGCTGCTCATCTCTTCTGAGATCAATCCGGCCAATTGGACGGAAAAGAGAACAGCAGTTCACTCATAAATACTACTTTGTCACAGTACGGACCAAGCTTCCGTACTGTCTATAAAATAACGTCCCTCCCTCACACTTTATGTCAACGAGCAACATTAAATAGCACCTTAATCAAACAGTAATTTCACACATCGATTAAAAAAACCACACTACATGAGGGAATAGGATCTCTATGATTAAGCTCTGCTTCAACATTTGGTCCCTCATCTATAAACGGAACATTAATAAAACTTCAGCACCTTAAAGCAAACCGATAAAGCTGGCGTACTACACTACAGCATCCCGCTGATACATAAAGCCCAAAGCATCAGATAAAAGGGAAACAAGAAAACTTACAGAATCTTTTCCAGGTCGTTTTTTAGTAGGAGATTTATGTTTTGATTCAGATCTTTGTCTAGCTCTATCCTTTTCACTCTCTCTCTCTCTTTCTTTTTTGTCCTTTTCTCGTTCAACATCTGATTCTGGTGAATCCTGTGTAAATAAAGGGGGAATATTAAATATAGGAAATAGTAATTTATAGAATAACCACACCTCAGAAAAGTCTGACTTCATTTCAATATAGACGATCTTAGAAAAATTGCTTGAAGTGGTTACTAATGAAGCACATCCCATTAACCGTGGGAGAATTAAGTAATGCAAAAACATTACTAAAGCGGTTTGAAAAGAAGAGGGCAAGAGATTTGTTGAATGCAGAACAACTTTCCCCATTCCCAGTGCGTGCAAGGACGGGGCATGCTGGATGCCATACCATAAATCTCTTCTGTGCACAAGCATCATTGATTCAGTAAGATCTCTAGAAAGGTGAAACCTGGGAAATATTTTTCTGCTACATGGCTGCCTGGCCATACCTGAATGCTTTAAAGCTGCTGGGTTTTCACTGGACTATTAACCATTCTGAGGAATTCGGTGGCACGACTCTGGTTTTATTCCACGTTCCATCCCAACGTTGCTAAGCTTACATGACCTGTTTGTGTCGCAACCCTTTAGCACTAGCATCTTACTCAATGGCTAACAATTTCCCCCTCCTTGTGAACACTGTCCACTGGAGAGCACAGCTAACTGCTCAGAAATTACAGAAACAAAAGAATACATCAGTTTTGAAGAGTTTTACAGCCAACAGGAGATATATATGTGTGTATATATATATTAAAAAACAAAGTTACTATGCTAGCAATACCCTCCTCCAGCCTGATGTCACACAGTCCCTATTATGACGACAGCTGGATGATTACAGATATATAAAGAGGATTATTGAAACCATAAAGTGTCAAGTTGTCCATTAACCAACTCAAAGTTAACTGCACTTACAGACTTGTGTCGTCTCTTCTTGCTCTTTTTCTTGTGTTTTTTTGACTTCTTGTAACTTCTCTCTGCAGACACATGGAGAAACAAAAATGCATCAATAAAATGGTAAAGACCCAGCAATAAAACACTAACACTAATTTAAAAACAAACAAATCTCATACCAGATTCTGCACTGGAAGAACGCTCAGAAACTGATCTCGATTCTGAACGCTGCCTCTTCTTCTTTGAATGGCTATCGTCATCTTCAGACTCCGAGCCCTTGAAATACAAACCCAACGTGATCAGCAAAACGACAGCATTACAAATAGCAACAGAAGCAGATTTTAAGACATCACGAAACACCTTACCGAACGAGAACGTGATCGTTTCCTGTGGTGTTTTTTAGATTTTTTCGAGTGTTTCTTGTTCTTTGAATGATGATGCTGACACTCGTGCTAGAGTATGAAAGAAGGTAAGTGTTATAATCTGTCTGTAGGACACAGCAAGAAACTGTAATGATGTTTCTCATTATCCACAAGACATCTACAGCTAGCAGCAGTAAAAATAGTAAAATAAAATCAAGCATTTACTGTGTCAAAACCCATAAACAGCTACCAGTATTGCCACGTTAACATTTTAATAAGAAGCATTTAGAAGCACACAACTTTACAGCTTCTATTACCCAGGTCCCTGGTTTAGTGCTTCCAATTAAAGCCCCTGCACAAGATGGCCTAGAAAACACTGCACACCTGGCTTTGCCAAATTCTGAAATTAAGCCATTTTAAAATCTCTTACAAACTCCAGAAAATGAAACAAAAACCCCAAAGAGCATATGCTGCAAATCAAATCTCACATTATCTAGAAAAAAATCAGCACCTTACTCAACAAGAATGACTTGTCAAAACTTCCGCAGCTTAACTCTTACTGCAGCCCATCCACAAGTTAAGAGCAAAACTAAAATATATCATCCCCTTTATACATCAGCAAAAAATGGGCTGCAGTAATAATAATTTTAAAAAGCTACATCTGCAGAGCTTAGTATGCTCTTGAAGTTCCAGGCTTGTAGTGAATAAAATACTGCAGAAGTTTCATCACGTTTTGTATGAAATCGCAGCAAGAAACAATTTTTCTGAAATAAACCAGGAAATTTTGATGCTAAATTAACTTCAGAAAATTCTGCTAAGGAAGCAGATTAAAAGTACCACCGTGTATCAAACTGTAATATGTTCTTTAGTTCCTTACTTTCAAGATGAGGTTTTATTATCTGTTACTTTTATTTAACGCACAATGTCCGCTGTAGCAGAAATCAGTAGAATTGTATTAAATTCCTCTCCCTTCCCAAACAATTTAAGACCCTATCAACTAAGATTATTTTTGTATATTCTCTAATCAGGAAAAATATGAAGTAATTATTACCTCTAGTATATGAATGAAATCTTTAAATATTCTTTTTCTTTCAGACTCCAGAGTGATGTCTTCAAATGCTGGCTCCTTTACAAATCTATCTCTGATCTGTAAGAAAAACAGCAATGAAATTCTAATATGAAATACAGCCATTCAGAAATATAAGTAGTAATAAAAAAAAGACATGATTTCACCAGTTGAAAAAGTCATTGTACTGTCACAAGGCTAAACTTTTTTTATGCCAGCTTCACAACCAAAACGGTCTTCAGTAAAACTGTAACAGATAGAGGCATGCCGAATCAGACCCATTTTTCCTGCAGATGCCATTTAAACCACGCAAGCTTGTTAAAGCATGCATTTTATACAAAGCATACTTTGAGAGGAAAGGTTATCTTACCAGAACAAAGTTATAGACTTTATCTCCATTTAAATTAAGTTTGTGGGCTTTGTGTGGTTATTTTTTTGGGAGGTGTTTTTGTTTGGTTGGGTTTAGGGGTTTTGTTTTTGTTTTCAATTGCATTCAAACGAAACTATCAATAGATTGAAGTTACTCAAACTTTGGATTTTACTGAAGTGACAGGATAATTTTTATGGGTCCAAGTTATATAAACAGAAGCATTAAGAGCTTAGAGAATCTCTGTTTACTCGAAAGTATAAGCATGCAGCAGCCTGTGAAATATATTTGGAAAGACTTTTCTAATTAAGTAACGATACATACATCTTCCCAGACAGCGTCCAATTCAATCGGAGGAGTCGCTTGCTTCAACATACTCTTGAAGGCAGACTCTTTCCGCTTCATTTTGCGAGCCTCCTCTTTTTCCCTTTCTCTTTCACGGGCTTCTGCCTTTTCTAGCAGCTATATCAAATAAAAGTTGTAAGATCATTTGAAAGATATCAAAAAGGAAGACTAATAATTCACTTTAACGCAATTTTTGGAAAGCTCAGCAACAGTTCACCTTTAGGAATTTTCTATTAGTCACTTCAGCTTACAGGAAAATTAACTCATTACTTATTTTTAAAGCATGCAACTGCTGTTTCTCAAACAGAACCTAAAATAGAGTTAATACATCATGCATGCCAGAACTACAGAAACACACACAAAAATCCCTCATGAGAAAAGCTACTTGTGAGAGAACATTACTTAATTCCTACCCCAGAATTTCTCAAGTTGAAATGTTTATGTTTTGAATAAAGATATACCTCTGCAATCTTTATTTTGGGAACTGCATAAGCAACTCTAAAGCACAGCATCTCTCTCAAGTATCACAAAAGGAGTCATAGCAATACAGGGAAAATAAGTGTCAATTCTTGTTTTTGCAACAGATTTCATATAAGTTTTCAAACATTCCTACATATTAATACTTACGCTGTTGAAAGCCAGCTTGATATTTCCTGCATCTAAAGTAGTAGCTCTTTTAGTTGAACTGATGACCGTAACAAAATCTTCAAAAGAAGTATTCACTTCGACCACAAATCCTTTATCCTGTAAGAAAATTGCTTCTTTGGCATCAGGCAAGTCAGGAACTCTCACTTCAGTGCTAACGCACATGATGTTAACGCAATGTGAAATCCCATCTCCCAGCAGCAAAGAGTTCACTTGAATGATATATTTGGCATTAAAAGAAGAAACCATGTAACGGGGCATTTTCCCCTCTCACCTTTAAGATATCTTTTATTATCTTCTTTTCATCATGGTAACGTGCTTTCAAGTCTTCAACATAGAACTTGAAAAGATCAAGTGCTGTTGATCCTGATGAAAAAACTAGATAAGTCAAAAGCTAGCTCTAATAAAAGAGCTGCACTTTTTTTAGACATTTAGAAAATATACAAATAACCCTGCTGTATTCTGCCCCAAATCCAAGCCCTTTATCTCACTTTCTACAGGGTTGGAAGAGACAGTATTCTTACCAGGCTGACCAAGCATATTTGTGAATCTCATGTCAGAGCTTATGGCTGGGTACAACTCCATCCAAGAGGACATCGAATGTAATTGTCCATGCTCATGCAGTTCATCTAAAAATAGCTAAAAAAAAAAATACAAGTGAAATGGAAATTTGTAGTCACTTCTCGTACTTTTACTTGGCTAACAGATGGAATGGATACTCTTGATAACTGGAATTCCATTTTTGTTAAAATGTGATTGAAAAAATAGCATTTTTTTCACATCATAATTTCCTCCTGCCTTCCTCCACCATTTACCATGTTTCAACTGCATTTCCTTTCCATTCAAATCTATTTCCTCTTACTTTCCCCTACTCTTGCAGCTTTCTGGCAAACAGATGTATTACACAGCAGACAAAACGCCAGAACGCCAATAACTGATGCATTATATGCACTCGTTGGCCTACCCTAAGAAATAAAAAAACCTGCACAGAATAGCTAATCACATGACACGTCTAGGACGGAAAAAGAAAGTGCACCAACCTGAAAAGATTCTCTATTTTTACGCTGCCGCCTTCTTTCTCTAAGTAAACTTTTCTGTTTTTCTTCTTCCTCCTCTTTTTCCAATGCCCTGATATGTTCCTCAAAACAAATCAGTGCGTCCTCCTTATCCATGTCTAGCAACAGATAACAGAATGGTAAGAGTAAAAATTAGGTATTTCTTCCCACTAACTGCAGAAAGTTCTTAGTACGAGATAACAGTTGCCAATTGTTGCTGCGAGTGGAAGTTTCACTGAGTGCTGAAATAGACAAAGACCCAGGCAGCAGCAAAACCCAACCGCCCCCAACCTGGATAAATGATCACTGCCGATACAGAGCACAGAAGCCTTTATGAGGGAAGTATTGTGGATGAGCACTTGTGCATCTCCCTGTATCACCACAGATATCAAACACACAGCAGAAGCAAGAAGAGAGTATCTTTGTCAAATGCTTTAGCAGTTGTGTAAATGCACATGTTGCTCTTAAAGGATTGACTCATTTATAAGAAAAACATGCTCATAATGGAAAAGCTCCCTTCTTACTCTAGAAGAGTAAAACCAATTACTTTTTCTAGGAAAGCAAACACAGCAGGACCTCACTCAGTCTAGCAGAAGGTAGCTTAAGTATTTGCAATGCAGATTAGGTTGTCAACTACTACTTCAAATTCCAAAGGCTAACAACTACTAAGGCAGTTCAATCCCCACAAAAAAAGAATCCTTTGCTTTATCATTAAGATTAATCAGGAATGATTTTTGAAGCCGACATCTGCTTCCTAGGAAGCAAACAAGACCGAGTCCTTGACACAGTCTGCTCAGCAGCTGTCATAACAGCCCTGGACTGGGCAAGCCATGCCCAGTCAGGAGTCCTCCCTGCTAAAGACAAATCCATTCCCTCTTCCCAAAGAGATGCTTAGACTTTTTACGTACTCTGAAGTTCCTCATCTTCTGCAAATGTAGGATTGTCCATCAGATACTGCTGAGCCTCCGACCAAGTAGTACAGTAAGTGACATTAGCCATGTTATCTAGTATGTTCTTCAAAGCTTCCCAATTCCTCTTTCGTAACTGTTTGGCTTGTTCCTGAGGAGAAAATACATATTTTTTTTTAAAATTTGAGGTTGTATAAACAAAACCATGTGACACCTCAAGTTTATTCTCCAATAAAACACAAAATTAACCTTTCATTTACATGTAGAGCAACGTAATACAATTTGGACCTACATACAACTTTTCCATACTATTACTGCTTGCATCCACAGATAAAGCATTTCAGTACTATTATCTCTGTTCCTGACAGATGGGAAAAGCTCATGAAACAGTGCTCCTCTGTTAGAGATACTGCTAGGACACTGCTGGTACATTCAGTAAACAGTCAGTGCTGCAACAAGGCACTGTGGCCTGCCATGCTGACAAAGAGCAGATCTAAAGCAGACCCGCTCATCACAGGCAATTCCATAAGCAGTGCTGTTTGGAGAGCTAGCCTCTTTCTGTTTGTCTTGCTTTTTGAGCAAGTGTGGACCTTAACACTAGTCTCACATCAATTTCAGAAAGTGCCTTGCTACGTGATTTGTTTCTAATTGTCTGTTTTCTGTCTACCCAAGGATGTTGGTGAGCACTGGCATCACTAGCACTGAAGATGAACTAGCCCATGATAGTTTCACAGTCTGATTCAGAGCAGTTCAGAATAAAAGCCATCATTAATTTTTAGTAGAATTTTAATAAATTATAACACATTGCAAAATTAGCAGCAACACATCTCAATAAAAACAAAGACCTTTCAAAGAAACAGCTGTTTTATCTGCCATACAGAATGAAATCAGGGGTTCACCTTGTCCAGCAGCAGACTGCCATGAACTAGGAAAGATAACAAGAGCGATCTACTCCTGGCATGCTTGCCCTGTTTCAGACAGAAACGGAACTGCCCATAGTTTGTTCAGGTAAGGATTCATCACTTTATGCCTCCTAACTCTACTGAATACCCCTTATGTACTGTATAACAAGAAATAAGGAACAACTGTCTCCAAATTCAGATCTACAAAATCTGTCATAGTTTTGAAGAGTCCCACCAATGCTTTTTTGCCTTGTCCCATCGCATCTTGCTAAACTGGAGCTCCCTCTCTGTAGGGTTTCATAGTTGATAAACCTTGCTTCCCTTCTGTTCTTTTTCTCTCCCTGCTTTGGAGACGGGGTAACCTGTACCCTCTAAGCAGTATACGGTTCACACTAACGCAGCAACATTCTCATTTGGTTCTCCGTGCGTTTCCTACAGATTCCTCCCCTGCCGTTAGTATTTTGATTGTCCCTGAACAACACTCAGAATTGCACAGCTTGGAATACTTCTTCAGAAAGAGGTATACACTAATTTACAGATAACAAGTGAAAAGATGTTTGAAAGAAAGTTACCTTCTCTTTCTTAGACAGAAAAAACAAGACATCTTCATAAATTTCAAGACGATCACGCTCAGATATCGCATTCCAGACTTCCATCTCCCCAAACATTTGTTCAGCTTTTCTGTACGAAACGAAGAAAAAGCACACAATCATTTACTGGAGAACACCAACTTGAATTGTCCCATCAGCTTACAATAACATTAAAGAAACTCTGTTGTAAGTAGTAATACTTTTGTATGACACTTCCCTAATTTCCTCTTGGGCAACTTTTTCTGTGACACCTTTCTATCTCTTATAAAGGAAACAGTTAAAAATTAAAGCAGATGTCACTATGCACTCCTCTCCACAGGAGTGGAAGTTCACCTGCAGTGCATTACATTAGTGTTTTTATCTGAGGGCTAGTACATGTTCTGGCCACTCTTCTAGCAAACATATGAAATCAGATATATGGAATTTTCAATGACAGGCTTATCAATCAAATATACCTCTCTTTGGGTACGAACAAACTATCACAACTACTTTGTTCTTAATGGCAGATGTAAAAGAAAACTCCTCTCAGTGTTATATTTCTACTTATTAGAAGCCCAAACCATTATCATCATCAGCACATCACTCATTTAAGTTGGTTTTTGCCTGGGTCTTAAACACATTCTCTGAAAATATTTGTGTTCCTATAAAAATTTTAGTTACAGGCTTTTCCAGACTGAGCACATACAAAGGTTACCGTTCACCAAGAGCAAGCCAGCAAGATTTGATTATTAGTGTGGCAAGCTAGTGAAGGTAAGAACTTCATTTAACATTGGTCTTACTTGTATCTTGTTGTGGATGTCATCTTTTCATGGTTTTCAAGAAAACGCTGGAAAGATTCTTTAGCTTCTTTGTATTTTGATCTTGCTTCTTCTTTCTCTTCTTTCTCTGTTTGAACTTTGTAAGCATTAAAGGCTTGCTTTTTTTCACTTAATTTTGCCAAAGCGCTTCACGTCAAAGAAGAAGAAAATTATGCAAAAAGGAATTAAATTAGAAAAACAAAACTGAAGAGCCAAAAGAAAGTGGAAGATCATTTTTTTTTTTAAAAAAAGGCAATAAAACTTACTAATAAAAGCAGTAAATAATAAAACACAAGCTACTATCATGCTTTCAGGTTGCATTTATACAGTTGACATTACAATACTATTTTTATCATGGATATCAACCACTTTTCTGCCACTCATTTCAAAAAGTAACCTAGAAAGTCTTCAGCTCCATCATTGTAAACGCATGCTTTTATTCCCAAGAAAATAATATAAATAGCATAAAATGCAACCAACAACTGCCACATCTTTTCCAAATGAAGAATTAAGCCTAGGACTTTCATTTCCTACGTAAAGAAATGAAGTTCCCTGATGATGGTACATGTTCACAAATACATGAATATCTATTAAAACAATCAAAACTTATGTCAGTAAAGTAAAACTACCTAAAATAGTATTTGTGTAGAAAAGTAATGAGGAAAGAATCAAGCAGTACCTGTATCTAGGATCATTAATGATCATTTTCATAGCTTGCTCCCAAGAAGCATTGGATGGGACTCGCTGTGAAGACATTAAATCATTAAGTAATTAGACTTGGAACCAACATCCAACAACGACCAATTCCTTAAAAAATAGCCCTCAGAAAAAGTACTACACTTTTGAGGTTAAGACAACATTGTCACATTTTTATTTTTTTATTTTATTTTATTAACAGTCAACATAGAAAATGGAACAAGGTACTTGTGGGATTATTGCCATTTCTACAATAAATTCTTTGGGAGGTTTGTCTGCTATACCACTACGTTGACTCACTATATAAAATACAAACAGATCCCACATACTCTGAGGGAAAACCAAAGCCAGTCTCATTTTACTCCCACTTCATCTCCACCTTTAAAACAAAGATAAAAAATTGAAAGCTAAGATGATAAGGCAACATTTTAGTAGAAATCTACCTCACTGTCAGACAAAAATATTGGTGACTCTAATTTCCACAACACTTAAGTACAGTTTTAAGAATTACTACTTCATAGGGAAAAAACCCATGTCTTTAAATCAGACCAGCCTATGGAAACACTGCATACTAAATCTCAGTTTGTCCATTTTCCATATGGACCTCTGTACTGTCTGTCTCTGAAGCATCTAGTGAGCTGTCGGTCAAATCACTCAGAGTTCCAGTTTGAATTTGGGACAAAGATCAGATTACAAGTTTGTGTTAGTGTGCGGATTATGTAAAAGGAAGAAAATTAAGAAAAAACTGAACTGAGAGCACTGATGAAAATTCAACACCTCCCTACTCACCCAAAGAGCTGACAAAAGGTTTAAACTGTGCATTGTTTTCACTGTAGCGTTCTTTTCCCTCATTTCTTGTCTAGTACAAAAGTCCTGTTCCACAACAGTGAGAAATTCTTCACAAAAAAAAGTCTAGCAATTTCTGGCAAACGCAGTTTTTGTAGTTCAATAAAGCATTAAGAATAGTTGACCAAAATACCTTTTCTTTCAACAGTTCTTTAAAAGCTTGCTTTGCTTCTTCCTTTGTATTCCATGTATAGGTTTTTTTAACTGGTTGGGAATCGTCATCCTCTTTCTTCAAAGCAGCACTATATACAAAATTCAATAGTTTTACTATTTAAGCTTTTTTTTTTCCCCCTAAGTTAGTGCCATTGAAGAGTCATAAACCACCATAATCAGATAGAATTGAGGTTTTTAAATAGCAACTCAAAGAAAAATAATAATGCTACACATGATAAACGTCACAATTTGTACCAGACTTTTCCTTACAGACACCATACACAACGGATCAAAAAAAAGCACACTATTTCAGAAAAGTATTATCACTTATGCAATTCACTACCTGCTCAAGTTATCTAGAAATTATTCACAAAAATGTAATGCTGAAATTTACCAGGAATATTTATATATTATATAAAAATATAAAGGGGAGTTCCTATAAATATGCCTCTTACCCTTAATTACCTCCTGCTGGCTATAATCCCCTCCCAGCACATTTCTTTTTTGTTTGAACAAAAAACCTAAGCTACAATTCTCTGAATAATCAATCCTTTGTTATTAAAAACCAAAGGATCTCATTTCTGGTGGAAAAGATAAAGCTGTATTTATTATTGCATTTTCTTCTAACAGCAGCCAATTGGAGAGATCTATGGAAGAGGACACATACGAGGTAAGCATATAATGTTACCCCAGGAAACTCTTACAGCTATAGAAAATTTACGCAATGTTCATGCCCCTGATGTTCTCTGTAGGGTTTAAGAGCTTTGGGAGAGAGCTGGGAAAGGGGAGGAGTTTAATTTTTCTAAAAATAGGTTTCATACTTCTTCCTCTTTCTTACTCATTCTTCCCTGCTGCCATTCCTTTACGCTCACATTTCACTGAGGAAAGAGTTAACTGCCAAAGAAGCCTGTCCACCTACAACTGAAGATAAACCAGATCCTAGAAGAAATACAAAACTGCAGCAAAACCACATGCTTTGTGATTTCACTTACTCTGCTGAGGCATCCTGCTTGGAAGAGTCATCTGCCGCGTTAGCTGCAGTTTCTGCACTCTGTTCCTGCGCAGCAGGTGCAGAAGTTGCTTGTCCCTGTTCCTCAGCTGCAGCCGTGCCAGTACTCTCATTTTCTACCACGGAAGAAGCTGTAGCAGTTTCTGCTTCAGGGGCCGCTGTTGCTGCAGAAGTAGCAGTGGTGGTAGTAACAGCCGCGGCAGATTCGGCAGCAGTCGTGGCTGTGGTGGTTGTGTTTGTTGCTTCCGCTGCAGCAGCTGGAGCAGATGTCGTTGGAGTTGATTCTTCGGGCTTTGTGCTATAGGTGTCAAAAAACAGGAACAGTCACATACAAGCAGGGGACAACTTAATGGTTTAGGGAAACCTGTAGCTTAAATGAGTTAATAAAGTACGAAGTGAGAGGTTTAGGTGTAGTTACAAAGACAAAACCAATCTTAGCTCAGAGATAGTAAATACTTTTCTGAAACTGTGTATCTATGCAGATCAATCACTTCAGTTAAAAAGAGACCTAGAATACACTGCTTGAGTTTTATATATTAAGCCACTATTTGGAATGAAAAGCTGCAAGGAGAAAGTTTTAAGATTCAAGGACTAGATTCCATTTTTAAGAAGTAAGCAGCTTAAATGTAAAAAATGTGAGTGTACCAATAAAAACATACCTGTTTTCTTCAGCTTTAATCATTGCTAGAGGAGAAAGGGGAAAAACAATCAAAATATAGCTTCAAAAATAGTTTATATATGCATGGTAAAATGGTACCATTAACATGATTTAATAAAAGGATAGCTTTAAATATTTTTGTTACTATCAATAATTTTAATATTGGTACCCTTTAAAGACCAAAATCAATTCAGATTAAAACAAAATTTAGAAATGCCATTAAAGAAATATTAGGGTATATAAAGAACAACAACTTGTTTTAAAATAATTATTTCAACTTTAAAAGACTAGTTTAAAGACCAGAAACAGATCTTTTCTTCTGTTTTATTGTAACAGCCACTGATGCTTATTCTTTGTAGTAGTTTTTTTAAATACTCATTTCTTACCCCAGCTATTTTGTAGATTTTTCATCAAGATCTTATCTCCCTTACAAGACCAAACAAAACCACGCTAAAAGCAAAAAAGAGGAGCACAGCATCATACGACGCTTGTACAAAAGAGGACACTGCCTTTCTAATACAAGAAGGCAATTAAAAGTTACTAATATTTTTGCCACATCATACTTTCTCAAAATATTTTTTGTCAGAAATTAAAAGCAAATCGGTACCTACTAAATCAAAGCCTTACACACAATTTTGGCTCTCAGCAGACAGCCAGTACTATTGCTTTGAGTATAAAATACATCACTGTTTTCAAAATTCTTCCAAGACACCAAACCAAAATGTAATTCTTACTCAATTATAAACTATGCTGTATTACAGAAATCGGGCACCCTTTTAAGCTGGTTTCCCAAGTGAATGAGGATTAGCACAGCCGTGCCTCTGCCTCTCATCTTCCCCCATCAATCTGAACCCCTTGACAAATCCTACTAAATTCCTACAAGTTTCCAAAGGATTGGTGGCTAAGGAAGAGTCAAATCCTACAAGAGCCCTAAAACGAAGGAAGACTTGAAGCATTACATACTGCTAACACAGAGAGGACCACACAGCCCTGAACAACCCACAGCATGTCACATCCTAATCCAGTTCCTGTTTTGGGACACGAGGGGGAGCTGGTGCTGCTGCCACAGAAACAGGGACGAAATAAGGGTGTAATGGAAAAAGGGACAGTGATGAGGTGGTGGGGACACAGGAGACAAGCCCGCTCCACCGAAATCTCAGACTGCATTAACTCTACTACATACAACTTATTTCAGTAGATTTCATTTCTAACAGAAGTTTGACTACTACGCTTTGACATCAAATTTTTGCCAAAAGTTATGCACCTGCACAGCTTGCAACTCACTGCAACCCTTCCTACTCATTTTTGTTAATGTTACCTTCAAGATCCTCAAGCTCTTTGGGTTTCGCCCAGCGCGATTCCTTTGTTTGGGAATTATAATAGTAGGGCTTTCCAGAATCAGATTTATACTCTTTCCAGGGACATTTAGACAACAATTGCTAATGGACAGAAAACAAAAACAAAATCAAACTTACAATGGTGTTTTAAAATTAAAAGGATAGCTAGAAGTGAGCCACAAACTACACCAAGAAATAACTTAAGGTTCAATGAATACAAGGCATATACTTTCCCAGGAAAAGCCTCTCTAGTGATAAACACGCACATTACTTATCTAAATACTAAAGAAAGCTATCTTTCTAATACAGAAAATTTATCTAAATTGATGAAAACTGTTGAGAATTTTGTCCACGTTGCAGCCTCAAGTTCCAACAACATAAGGAATGTGATATAAACGTTTTTTTGCAACATTTCTTATTTTAAGTTTGCTCCCACTGGAAAAAAAAAAATCTATTGGCATAGCAATTCTCCTGCATAAGAGCCACGCGATTAAGTTCTTGCGTTCACACAAACTCACACAGTACAGCAATCTTCATCTGAATTTGGTTTACCTCAGCAGGTGTTTTGAGATCATCTGGCTTCTCCCATGTAGACTGCTTTGTTTCAGTATTATAGTAATATGTTCTTCCATCAGGTGATTTGTGTTCTGTCCATGTAGATTTCTAGGAAAAATAAAATGTACCATTAACGATGAACAAAAATTATTGACTGAGATGCTATCAAAAACACACTAAAAAAAGTTAAATACAAGTGGAAAGCAGATAAACCTGTTTAGAGTGCTCTTCGTTAACAGAACTGTTGGATGTGGTGGTTTGCTGGGCTGCGCAAACTACAGGATGTGTTGTCTGAGGGCGAAACAAAACAGAGCTCTGAAAAGACATTCTGGTTAATATTTGTTTTTCATTTGAATGCATATATTAAATACACTAAGTAATTCAGTAGCAGAGGAAAGGCAGAAAGTCAAAATCTAAACACATTTAAGTCAGTATTGTTTTCAAGAAACTACTTCTTTGTGACAAGAGTTATTAAGAGTCTTTTAATGCCCCCTCCCATTCAGCAATCCAAAGAGGCCAGTTACCATCAGAAAAGAAAGCAGAAGTGAATAGGATCTGACCCTAACATCTTCAAGTGAGAGTCCCAGAAGCCCACTATGTTTTCAAAACTAAGAAAAATTTGCTTCAAGAAGATTCTGACTTCCAGAGTTTAGTGTGAACTGAGGAGCATCTTCCTACTGCTTGTCATCAACAGTTTAATATAAACTCTCTGGAATTCAGGCTGATGGAATACAGCTTTAACCATCTACTCTTTTTCACTTACTGCCAAGGGCTGAGGAGAAACAACTTCAGTATAGGTTCAATTGCCTTATTCAGTTACACATTATTATTTAATAATGAAGCTAGGTACAGAGTCCCCAAATTTCAAAGCAACAACCAAAGACTTACAATGGGGTTATGTTTGAGGCCACACAAATATTTTTACAGATTCCGCCTCTTGTTATCTAGCCAAATCATTTTCTTCATCATCTTAAGAACTACAGGTAAATGTCTGGGATCTTCTACAGAAGTAATTTAATAGTTACAAAATTTTAACTAGAAACCTGATAGTGACTGAAAGTTATTCATAGTCATTCAAGGTGCCAGAAAAGACAAATTTAAAATTTGACGTTACTTCCAGATGGCCTGCCTACCTCAATACAAAGTTAAGATATCCAGCACCAGTTCTGTTCCGCCAGCGATCTCCCATCTGACGGAAATGGGGAAGACTACTGAAAAATCACTTAAGGAGTAAGTTTGGCGTGCAAGCCACCATCCTGTTTACAAGCTCAACCTACATTAAATCACCTTCCATGCAACCTACCCAATATTTATTCCTACTTAAACTACTGAAGTACGCTATGTTCCCACAAACATGGAAAGAGACACCAACAAAAGCAAATTCCAAGTAATGCCAAGATGGCCGGGGCAGGGGGAAGTTAAGGTAAATTATTAGCGAGCAGCAAAATTGATGCAGTTGTGATAATCTTTCTTTTGAGGTTAGTACTTCACATTTTTCAAAAATCAGAGTGATGTTTTCAAAATTATTATGGGTAACTATATAGGCTATTCTCTTTTTATTGTTAAAGTGTTTGGTAATAAAACTCTCAGTAAGCTGACAATGCTAACAACAGTTTCAATAAATCACAGCAGACTAAACAATACCAGAACTGCCTTCTGCTTAAGTACAGCTGCATTAAGGTACAGCAAGGAAGACTTAATCATGGTCTATCGAACTCTGCTACACACATTCAAACTGCCAAAGTAAAATATTCATTAATACATAACAGGCAAAATGTACCCAGACATAAATAAAATAAAGATCTGCTTATAAACTGGTCACTGATATGGAAAGGAGAGGAAAAAAAAAAAAAAGAGGAAAAACATAGAAAGAGGAACAACCTTCAGTCTTCTTCAGTGCAAATAAAACTCCAATTCTACACTGAGTAACTTTCTAGCCCAACACTTGCGAAGATTTAAATCTGTAAACAGTCAACTTTAAAGTAACATGGGTATCTAGGCTACAATTCACTTGCTGCTCAGGTAGGGCAAAAAGATGTAAAACACCACAAGAAGTATCTCGTATTGCTGTCCTGCATACTAGAAGAACTAGAAACAAATAGACTTCAGTGCTCAGAAATCAGTGTAACAGAAAACACGCTAACTACTAACGTTAATTACAGACCGGCAGTTAAATAAGCAAAGAAACTCCATATGAGAAGAAAAATAAGATGCAAGGTTTTCTTTTAAACCTGCAAAGCCATGTATGCACAATACCACACAACCAAAATTCTAGCAGATTGTAATGGCATTCACATACCTGAGTTCCAGGAGGTGTTACACCTAAAAAATAAAATTTAAAAAAATAATAATTTAAAAAGGGTTTGGTTTCTTTATTTTTCTATATAAAGATATAGATTAATTTCTAATTAATCAACGTTTGAAAGAAAATATTTTTTCTGGTAATCGATGATGTCGGTTACTGAAATGCTAAATCACATTTTACAGAAAAGTCTGTTGGGTTTTGGTTTGTTTGGTTGTTTTTTTTTTTTTTTAAATACTTCACCATTTTTGGTGAAATATTTTGAAATGATAACAAATTGGTTTTACTTACCTACTTGCGCATCCATACTGTTCACCCCTGGCTGTAGAAACAATCAACAGACATTTAAGTACTGAGGCAATTGTAATTAAATCATCAATAAATACAGAACATACCCAAACAAGTGCTTTCAGCAACAAAATGCTCTACTGCCTTAAATATGGATTCCTAGCTTCCCATCGCCCACTTAATTATTACTGCTCCTTAAACAAGCAATTAAGAACATCAAGCTACTTTTCAGAAAGGCAATATATACAATAGGCTACACCAGGGGGTCCCCTGCCATCATTCCAGCATCCATTTTTATCTCCCAAGTTAGTAGGCTGGGAGGAAAAAAAAAAAAAAGATTCTGAATTTCTGCTGGAGTAGTTTAGTAGGTCTCTGTTATAATTATGTGGCATAAACCTTTCAGTGTATTAGTGTTGCACTCATAAAACTGCTCGCAAATAACCAAAGCTCTTACAGATACCCCTTTTGAAATTCTTTCAAACTAAGGAAAAAAGATTAACAGAATTCAAACAGTTTTCTCAATTTCTTTCATTTTCTGTAAGCAAAAATATAGCCTGCAGGTTTACCTTTTGCTAGGGTTTATCTTTCAGGTCTCTTCTACCAACTTTGTTAATAAACAGCTCCTCAAGTGAAACAGCAAAATTTGTTAAAAGGAGAAAAGAAATCATATTGGATCTATCACATTTGATATTATCCAATAGGACTAAACCAGGTGAATCGTCAACGAACTTTAGGCCTTTGAAGTGCATTCTGTATATTAACTATTTCAGCTACTCTGTGTGTGTGCGTATGTCTATGAGTGTAAGTACTGTCAGTTAAGCAAGGTTGTAGTTAAATTTGTGTCTCCAGCAAGTAACCCTTCAGACATGCTTCTTTTCTTGTGTCTATGTTTAACTTCCAAACTCCACTCTAATTTGCTGTGTACTGTAAGACTCCTAATATGACTGAAATAATAATAATTTTTAGGAATTACGCTGGCTCTAATCAGCCTTCTGGAAATACAGACTTCTGTAGATCACAGGACAGATAGTGAACCTGCACAGGAGCGGTTTGAAAGACCACATTTGGGTGAAACAGCCAAGACCAAAGAGCCGTGACATCAGTACAAATCACCCAGATGGCCTCAGTGAGATTTACATCACATTTTACACTTGGAGAAAGTATCTTCTATCAGACAGCCAAAACAAGTCAATAATGTCATGAAGTTTACCAAGCTAATCATCAGGGCTGCAAAGAAAGTCATGATGTTTTTACTCTTGGACAAATTATTTTAAAGTATGAAATGGTAAAATCATTCTTTTAGTTCTAAAAAAAACACTTTCCAGGCTGTGGTAGACATGCAATAGCAGAAGTACAAGAATGACAGACAAATGTCTTCTCATACACATGTACAAAGATGTGAGCTCCTGCTATTGCTGCCAAGAGAGTTAAGGGCAAAATTAAAAGCTGGAGCCCTCTGTCATGCTACTTTGCCTCCTAAGTACCATATATCCACAGACGTAATTCAAGCCAAATTTATTCTTAATCCAGTATTAGAAAACCAGGTGAGCTGCCTTCTTGCAGAATATGTAAAAATATCCAGCAAAATTCAAAATTAGACTGATTTTAGCAATGATCCCTCCCTTTTAAGTCTCTTTTGGCCATCGCATCTTTAAGATTTTTTTTCTGAAGGTCTGAAATCCTTTCAAAATTTTCTATGAGCATCACTTGTCAGAAATTCGCAACAACTTCCATATAGGAAATGGAGAAAAATCACTAATATCCTTCCTACCTGGTAGCTTCTAAAATATTTGGTGCATTAGAAAGCAGCTACATGTGCACAAGAACTAACGAAGCATGGTTCCCAAGAATTTGCCTCAGGATTTCCTGACTTTTACTTAAATTACACTAAGGCTGTAACATACACTCACATCTCATTAAACAGACACTAGCAGCAAGAAACAAACATGTAACTAGCGAACAGATTCTCTAGTGTCTGACAAAGCCCAAGCACTAAACTTGTTTTTCCCCACTGTTAAGATAACTAACATCCCCTCTCTGGTATGAATTCTCAGTCACCTAGCAGACCTCAAGGTGACATACATCCTTTTCCTACCAGTTCCTTCTCTACTTATTTTGCAAAAATTTTCTTTGCAATCTTTCTCTCATTACTGCAGAGAGCAGATGGACTGCTTAATGCAATACATCTTGTTACACACAGCATATTTAGTAAATTAATTAAAGATCTCTTTAAACAAACCATTAATGAAAAAAACAAGTGCAGTATTAACCAACTTATTTTTTAAAATTATCAACAAAAGCATTAGCAAAATTTTTCTATAGTGCCAAGCACAAAACCATAGAGTTCTACAAGGATGAAGTCTGACTTGTGGATGTAGTATCTGCATGGTAAGTAAATAAAAAATAATTTAATTCTAAATTTAAAGTGGATAGAACTGTTTTTAAGTGGATCTCTTACAGCTACTTTAAATCTCTGAAAAGCTTATGTTAATACATAAGAAATTTAGCCTCTTCCACTTCAGAGAGAGACTTCATCTGTAATATCTGTTAACTCTTCTCTCTCCATTTCCACCCTAGTAACTTCTTTCTTCGTACCTTTACTGATTTCAGCAAGCTTTACTCAAGATCTCAAACACACTAAATTTCAGAAACTTTTAGAAAAAATGGGATATATAGTGGTCAGACAATTAGCCTTCCCTCCAAGCAGCCAGAGTTCACACTGGTCCCTGCCCAGGTACAAGCAGGTGAGGGACAAGGGAGCAGGCCAGGGGTGCAGGAAGCATTATGGGAAGCAGAATCCAGACAGAAGAAAGAAGGGAAAAGCAGACGCAGAGATGAATGTAAAGACTGATGAAAAGCCACAGGACACCAAGTATCACTAGCTCTATGTCTCTCAGAAATCTTATTTTTTTACAATAATTCAAGAGCTAGTTACAACTTCATTGCAATTAGCAGTATCTTTTTCATAACCCAACTGAAGAAAACAAAGGCATACCCGTACTGAAGTAACGACAGCAACTGACACAAAGACCTTTTAAAAACCAGAAAAGTTAAGTTAAACTCACCGGAACTGTAGGCTGCATAGCAGCTTGAGACATGTGAGACATCATCATTCCAGGCATTACTGACTGCATCATTCCAGGCATCTATAATTAAATAGTATTTTTCAGATATATATTTTATGAGGATTCTTTCATTTTTATTTAAAAGCAATTATCTGGTACTAGTTTTTAATCAAAAAAAACCAACCCTTTTAAGCACTTGGCAAAAGAAAGAGAGGATCGTAGAATTCTGAATCCCTTCATCAGACTCCTACAAAATTGACATTAGGAATAACATGTCTACAGTATTCCAAAGTTTGAAATGAAATATTAATAAAGACCACCACCAACAGCAAATGATGTGTGATCTGTTAATAAGCTGTTACTGAAATCCTAAGTTAAAGCAGGAAAAATAAAAGTCAGGAAAGATTTCTGCAAAATTCCCAGGCCACACATAACAAACTAAACAAAGGAAAGGTAAACTCAGAGTTCAAGATTAATTCTGCTCACATTTTTGGACAACTTTCAACCCATCTCCCTTTCCTTTTACCTCACAAATAGGAAGAAACACTTCACAGGGACACTAGAAGAATGAATTTCTGCAAACAGCTTCAAGATGAAGAGTTAAATTCATGTTAAATTAATGTTAAATTAAAATGTTAAATTAATGTTAAATTTAAACATCAAAGCTCTAAAACAATTTTGAACTCTTTTTTTTAAAGGTCTGGAAAAACACCCTTAATATAGACATACAATATTAAATCATCTAACAGTGTGAACTTGGTAACGGGCACGTACCACACTGCAGAAATGAAAAGTTTGAGTCTAGACTTGTATTCGAGTTTGTTGGGTGGAGTGATGACCATGGAACTGCTACTCAGATAAGCTAGCTTTTGCTCAAATATTTATGCTTGTAGTCTCAAAGGGATAGTTATGCAGAAGTTATGCGTCACTGAAACAATGCACTGAACACTACTGAAAAAGCTTTTATACTTCGCATGTTTCCCATTATTTTTGCTGATCCTGGCTTTTAAGAACTAACAAGCCATAAAAAGTGGCCAAATGAACAAAGTATATAATTTAGGCCACTACGAACGTGAACTTTTGGCCACTCATCCCAAACAGGTCTCGAGAAGTCAACCCCCTTCAACCTTTCAGTTATGCCCCTTTACCTTTATCGTCCTTGGCAGGCTGGCCAAGTGACCCCCATCCCCCCTGTATCTTCAGGGAGCACCAGGTTACCACTCTCCTCATCTTGCATCTCATGTGGAGAGAGGGATAGGGTAGCTACTGCTCCACCCTCAAATCCGCAAGGTTTTCTTGGGAGAGGGAGGAAGGAAAGACTTGAAGATGGCCCCTCCCATTCCTCGCCACCCTGTAGAAGCAGGAGAAGAAAGCACTCTTGCCCCACCGCTACTTGCAACTAAGGGGGCTCTGAGTGTGTGAAACTTCTTAAAAGCCCTGGCTCAGGTCCTGAAGAAACCTGTGCACTGCTCTGTTTCTGCATAACACCAACCCAAAGTCAGCAAAGGAAAAAAAAAGTGGGAAGAAGAGCAAATTCTCTTCCAAAAGACCTTCCTCTGAATGATGCCGACAGGAAGCCATTGCTATTATCTATGCAAAGTACCTGTCCCCTACAGGGGTTCACCTCAGAAAGGCAAAAAACAAGCTACAAAACATCCCATCCTGCAAAGCCTCACAAATAAACCGCTGATATCTGCTGGAAGAAAGAATTTGTCATTCAAGGAAAGAAGCCATTAGGGTCTGATACTTCCAGCACAATAGTTCCATCCTGGCCCATCCCTATGGCTGTAGGGTAACTGAGCCTCTGATCTCCTCTCTGCCGTGCCATTTATACTTAGCTTTTTACTCTACAACTACCAAAAAGTCCTGAGCTCTCTATATTGCTCACAAAAATATTAAAGACCAAAATACTTGATATGTAACAGTGAGAACAGTGGAACAGACGCTACAAAAGAACTGTTAAGTAGAGGAATAAAATATAATTGCTATTTAAGTTTAATGAACACACATAAAAGTTCACGCTATTAACTATCTTGTTAATGGTCAAATCCTCCTCATCTTTAAAAACTGAATTATTTTTACACCAGAAGCTGTAATAGGCTGCAAAACCACACTGAAGAGATTCCTACCAAGCCTTTATACACCAGTTAAAAAAAAGAAAAAAAAAAAGAGACACACTCCATCCCGGTACTGCAAAGGAAGATGCTGAGTGGCCAGCATAACCTTGCAGGCTTTTCTCAAAGGGTTAATCTTTCTTGCCATCCTCTGTCTGTTCTGGTCTACTCTATCCTTGTGGTCTAGTCAACGACACTCAGCTTCTACTTATGCAAAGCATCATCACAAGTAGTCTCACTAGAGCATTTATTATATTGTTTTGGGGTTGAATGGCAAGGTTTTGGCAGCAGGAGGGCTACAGGGCTGGCTTCTGTGAGAAGCTGCTGGAAGCTTCCCCCATGTCTGACAGGGCGAATGCCAGACAGCTCCAAGATGGACCCATCGCTGGCCACGGCTGAGCCCATCAGTGACAGTGGTAGCACCTCTGTGATACCAGAGTTAAGAAGGGAAAAAAGAAAAAGAAAAAAAAAAAAAAAAAAAAAAAAAAAAAAAAAAAAAAAAAAAAAAAAAAAAAAAAAAAAAAAAAAAAAAAAAAAAAAAAAAAAAAAAAAAAAAAAAAAAAAAAAAAAAAAAAAAAAAAAAAAAAAAAAAAAAAAAAAAAAAAAAAAAAAAAAAAAAAAAGAGAAGTTTTTGCAGCCAGAGAGAAGAGTAAGAAGATGTGAGAAACTTTGCAGACACCAAGGTCAGTGAAGGAGGGGGAGGAGGAAGACCACGGTGAGGCAGGCTGCCCCACTGCAGCCCATGGAGTATGATGGTAGAGCAGAGATTCCACCTGCAGCCTGTGCAGCCGGAGCAGGTGGATGCATCCGAAGGAGGCTCTGACCCTGTGGGAAGCCCACGCTGGAGCAGTTCGTGAAGAACTGCAGCCTGTGGGAAGGACTCACGTTGGAGAAGTTGGTGGAGGACTCTCTCCCATGGGAGGGACACCACACTGGAGCAGGAGCAGAGCGTGAGGAGCCCTCCCCCTGAGGAGGAAGGAGCGGCAGAAACAACGTGTGATGAACTGATCACAACCCTAATTCACCATCCCCCTGTGCCGCTGTGGTGGGAGGAGGGAGAGAATTTGGGAGCGAAGTTGAGCCTGGGAAGAAGGGAGGGGTGGGCCTCCAGCCAGGGTCAACCCACTACATATATCCAGGAAGAGAACTGCTTCTTTCAGAAGTTCAGAATTTAATCAGAAACGAGACAGGAAAGGATCTTTGATCATTTAAAGGAAAAGCTTTAAGTTTGCAAAAAGCCTGGATACGATTCTGGCTACTCTGTCAATCCAGGTTCACACCTGTCAATCTGAATGGTCAAGTTTCTTTTTCAATCACATGACACTAGCAACAACAGTGTATTCCACAGTACTATAAACCACTCCCTAGGATTCAAGAAGGAATTCTGCAAAAATTCAAAACATACTTATTTCTTCCCTTGCACCTCCCTATGATTTTCATCTGTGCAGAAGTAAGAGTTAGCCAAGAATTAAAGAAACGTGAAGCTCTCTACCATTACCACCTCTGAAAAGAACCACTATATGATTCTAGTATGTCTTAGCAGGACAACCTTACTTCTTCAAATTATAAAGAAAAATACCAAAAAAGCCTTAATAAAAAATAAATTATGGATTTGTACCTAAAGCCATTTACAATTAAAGTGCAGCAATTACCTGTTCCAAACAAGAAGTTTCTGCATGGATAGGAACTGTGGCACAAAATACCCTGAATTATTAACCTTACCGCATGCGAGCTACTGTATGAGACGTACCTACCTCAGGGGTTACTTGACAGCATTAAGGGAAGAAAGAAAGAAAGAAAGAAAAAAAATCCTGTACAACTGCCTTACCTGCCCCATTGGTGGTCCTCCCATGGGGGGCATCATCTGAGGCATCATACCGTGTGGAACTGGTGGCATATTTGGTGGCCTCTGACCCATCGGGTGCATTCCCATGGGAGGATAATGCGGCATGCCTGGGTGTCCCATCTGAAAGACAGAAACAAATCAGAAAAATCAGGATGAAGTCAACAACCCCAAACCCCACAAAAGCGTTAATAACAAAGAGATGCTCAACACTGAGCTGAAAGTGATTTGGGCAATACTGCCAAACAGCTAGCAAGATCATTCAGTTTTCTAGGTCCTCCAGAGCCAAAGTTAATGATAATTAACAAATCCATATAAAATTTCAAAACCAACATCCAAATGAAAAAAGCCCTCCATAATCTTTCATCTTATGGTTTGTCACAGAAAAACATATTAAATTTGGGAACGTGACTATTTCTGCATGCTCTTACGTACAATTACGATTAATGCAAGGAACTCTGTGGCACATAAGTCAAAGAAACAAGATGTCTTCTACTCCTGATGTCCAAGTCTGAAACAGCTTCTACACTGACTACCATCCCCATACTCTCCTAAAAACCTGAATCCTGTTGCTGTTCTAATGCTTGGTATAGTCACATTGCTAGTACAAAAAAGAACAGGGATATTTTCTCCCCATTTTTTTAGTTACCAAAATGTATTAAGAGCTTTCCATTCTAGTCAGCAGCAACAGCTCTAAGATAAACTCTGGAAAGCATTTCACTTTGAAGAATATACATATACATATACAGAAATATGTTTATAAAGAATATACATATACAGAAATATGTTTATAAAAGTGCACTGGTTTATTAACATGAAAACTATTCTTAACTATCATTTTTGAAGGGTTCTTAGCAGGAAAAAAAAGTAGCATTTCTTTTTGATGTGTTTAAAACCAATTTCCCTTACAGTTTTTGTACCAGAAGACTCTCTGAAGCTGGGAGTGGCTGGTTCACATAAAGAAACCACAAACAACTAGAAAGGTTTGAAACTTCTGAACCTAACACTCAAGCCCCTCCCTCCCATCCTTGACTGCCAGTGACAGCCTGCCTGTTTGCAGACTCTGAGATGCTGTTCTAATTACTCCAGGTAGAACCCCACCACGCTTCCTCAAAACCTCCTCAGCCCTCCCTCCGAGTGCAACCACGTTTTCTCTCACTTTCCGAGGGACCTGCCGACCG